ATCAGGGAGAACACTTTGTTCGTGAAAAGGGAGAAGTGCTGCTTTGCTCAGACGGATATCTTATTCTTGGGGCATTGAATCGATGATGGTTCCATTCGGATAGACAAATCAAATGTGCAAGCTGTTGCGGAATGACGAACTCCAAAGAAGGTGCCGGAGCTGAGATCCTTCCTTGGTTTCGTCAACTAGTATCGGTGCTTCATAGCTAAGTATTCGAAGCGCGCAACTCGACTAACGGAGTTGCTAAAGGAGCAGCCTTGGAGATGGTCTGACAAATGTGAAGCGACATTCCAAGATCTAAAAGTTGTTGTATTGGAAGAATCGTTGCTCAAATTGCTGGACTATAGGCGGCCCTTCAAAGTCCATACAAATGCTTCAGACTTTGCTATTGGGAAAGTACTCATCTCGGAGGGTCATCCAGTAGCCTACGAGAGTCGCAAGCTCAACGAGATTGAGCGGCAGTATCCGGTGCACGAGAAGGAGATGATAGTTGTGATCCACTGTCCACGAGTTTGGAGGCACTATCTTCTCGGATCGCGATTTGTGCTGAGGGCTGACAACATTGCTTTGAGCTATTTCTAAACTCAAAAGAAACTCTCCCTAAAGTAAGCACGATGGCAGGACTTCCTAGCTAAGTTTGATATAGCAATGGAGTACAAGCCCGGAAAAGCTAATGTCGTGGCCGATGCATTGAGTCGGAAAGTGGAACGAGTAAATGCCATACAATTGGAGGGCAGAGGCTAAGCAAGTCAGTTGCACTCCAACTTCCTTTCTAGGATCAGGGATGGACTGTACAATGATCCCCAGGCAGTAACCCTGATGTAACTAATCAAAGAAGGCAAGGCACGACAATTTTGGGTCCAGGAGGGACTCGTCTACACTAAAGGGAATAGGGTTTATGTTCCTTGAGTAGACAATTTGAGGCGCGAACTCTTGAGAGAGTGTCATGATTCCTTTTAGGTAGGACATCCAGGCATTCACCGAACATTGGCTCTCGTGGAGAGGGTCTTCTACTGGCCGAAGATGGGGACTGATGTGGAGGAATGTGCTCGAACGTGCCTTACTTGCCAATAAGATAAGGTGGAGCAGTGGAAGCCAGTGGGACTTTTAGAGGCGTTGCCCGTACCAGAAAGTTCATGGGAGAGCATTTCCTTGGACTTCATATCAAGCTTGCCGGTAGTAGGGGGACTCGGATCGATACTTATGGCGGTTGATCGATTTTCAAAGTATGCAACTTTCATTGCTACACCTCTACATTATTCAGCAAAGGAGGCGGCTAAGCTGATGATGAAGAATGTGGTAAAGTATTGGGGAGTCCCGCATAATATCATCAGTGATTGAGATGCTCGGTTCTTAGGGCGGTTCTAGACCGAGCTATTCAAATTATTGGGGTCTAAGTTATACTTCTCCACAAGCCTCCACCCCTAGATAGATGGCTAATCCAAATGGATAAACTCACTCCTTGAGCAATATTTTCGGCACTACGTAAGTAGTGCCAACCAAGGAGATTGGGTGAAGCTGTTGGACATAGTCCAATTCTCCTACAACTTGTAGCGAAGCTCTGCGTCCAACAAGAGCCCCTTTGAGATCATTACAGGACAACAACCATCGACTCCTCACACCTTGGCTATCCAGTATATTGGGAGTAGTCCGTCAGCATATCACTTTGCAAAAGAATAGCACCAAAATGCAGATATTATGTGGGCTTACTTGGAGAAGACGACAAAAAAGATGAAGAAGTGGGCAGACTTAGGAAGGCGACTACAAGAGTTCAAAGTCGGTGATTTGGTGTTGGTGAAGCTCCAACCAGTATCACTCCATTTCTTTAGGCACAAAGTACACAAAGGATTGGTGTGCAAGTATAAAGGGTTCTTCCCAATTATCTGTAAGGTGGGCAACGTCTCCTATAAATTGTTGCTACCAGCGTGGCTCAAAATTCATAATGTTTTCGTGCCAGCAACTTGAAAGCCTACCACTCAGATCCGCAAGATGCTTCTTGAAGTATTCCAACTCGGCTACCCCCACCAGAGCCTCCTATGAGAAGCGAGTTGAAACCATTTTAGCGGATCGCAAGATAAAACTACCCAATGGAGCTGAGTAGACTAAGTACTTGGTGAAGTGGCGAAAGCTTTCTCGAACTGAAGTAGTTGGGAGCCCGAAGATGCCCTACGATATGAAGAAGCAGTCATCAACAACTACCAACAAGCGTCGACAAGGGCATCGACTGTTTAAGTGGGGGAGAATATCACGAACGGTCATTACGCGCCAGCAACAACTTTGTTCAATGAACCGTTCGTCACTTTTGCATGCTTGTGCAAAGACATGGCAGCATGTTTTGCCTTGATTTTATATATTTTTGCTTGGAAAATATAAGCAATGACAGTTCGCAGTGCTGCAATGCGATTGTTCATCGCGTCGGGCCGAACTACCCAAAAATGGCTCCATTTTCACGTGTCACGGCTTGTTTTCTGCAAATCGCAGCTGCACGCGAAATGTCAGCTATCTTAGCACCCTGGAACCCCCCCCAGGGGGCACAAGGCTACATGGGGCTTCGGTATATTGTCGAGAGTTAAACAATCTTCACAAGTTCACACGTTCACTTAACGAGAACTTACCTTCGCGCTCGGCACCCGGTGAGCAGTTATTTGTGGATTTACAACTGTTCGTTCTACCTTCTAAAGTCTTTGTTTTTTCCTTCCTCTCTTTTCTTTCTTGCACTCAAGGTTCTTATGGAATTGCTTGTAAAGCTCCTCTCTTCGCGAGACGTCAAGATTTGTCCGTCACTCGTTTTCAATTTAATCAACTTTTTGTTTTACAGGTCCTTTGGGACTTGTACGAGGTTGCAACTAGGCTGAACCTTTGCAGACGCATATGTCGCAAGAGCGTCTCATGAGTTAGGCAATTCCAGCTAAGTCCGAGGAGTTGGCGCAATGGTGTTTCACAACTTAGGCAACTTTAGCTAAGTTCGTGACTTTGCCGCAAGGGTGCCTCATGACTTAGGTAATTCTAGTTAAGTCTGCAGTTAAAACAGTTAACACCCGAGAAGAAAAGGTTATCACCTGCAGATTCATTATGTAAGGATCTCATCGTCTCTTTTAGCTTGAATTATGACATACTGATTTTTCCTGCCGAAGCTTTGAGTTCTTTTGATAAGAAACACAAGTTTTTCTTTTTTCTTTTTTTTTTTCCCTGGGTGTAGTTTGTACTTGTGTTGTCACTGTTTTAGATGGAAATCTGAAAACACGGAACGAGTTTATCCAAACAAGGTACTTTGTACCATTACCTTGCTTTTGGATTTGAATAAATAACTTCATTCCATTAATTTGCTTATGCTTAGATACATGATTGAGCATGTATGTTAAGGTTCCAGGTCCATTTATTTTGTTGGTGGGTATCCTATGCAGCTGCTGCTTGATTATGACCTTCTTACGTTCAGGGATTATAATCTATTATATATTGGCTTTGTATATGTGATCTTTCAACAACTTCCTGTAATTTATTTTTGCCTGCTATTTTTGCTAATTATTTAGATCACTTTGCTGTCAATCTTGATCCATAGAGCTGGATTATACATTGTGTTCTTTAAGTCATGCTATTGAGCTACTGTTTCTGAGGTGTACGAGTTCCACAAATTGTCCATTTTTTATTATAGCATTTGAGAATAAAATGTTTCTTTGCAAAATGATCAATTTATGCATAGTTTTACCTTATTTTCGTTTATCTGATGCATGGACTAAACACTTATTCTATCTATATTCAACTCAATAGTATGTTCATTCTTGTGTGCTAGGAGTAGGAGCAAGTGTTCTCTGAAAGTGATGGCTTTTTTGCGTGGACTTTGATGAAGAGGCAGGCGTACCTTTTGGCAAACAATTCTTTCATTCCTTTGGCCTCTGGTTGCACTTGCTGTGTGCTTGTTTCCTATATACCCATACCAATGCAAGATCGGTGTGCTCTCCTCCTTTGCTGGAGCTCTTCTTTTCTTGGTTACACTTCTTTTATGTAAGTTCCGCAATCTCAGTGTCATTTGTCTTTGGAAATTTTAGTAGTTTGCCTTTTGATTAGGAATTCCACATAACGCGCGATGAGGAAGCAAGCTTATCTTTGGTTCTATATTTAGATTAAGGTTCATCTCGATTTGTTAATATATTGTTAAGCGAGCTTCATCTCGGTTTACGTATGCCACTGTTGCTGTGCTGTTCGTATTGTTGCTTCGGCATGATGTTCCTGATGAGGCTGCCAGAGCAAGGCAAGTTTGATCTTCTTAAGTGACGATTGTATTCAAATCATTTATCCATACTCATGATTCTTGACATACCTTACAACAATTTGTCTGAGCCCTATTGTCTATGACCAACAGTTATTTCCACAGATGGAACCCGTCATAGTCACACATTTTTATATCATAGTCAACAGGGTGAGGGAATATCTATTTTAGCATATTGGCATCAGGAAATATTATGTTTTCGTTATCCTTATTTATCTTTTGATTTCTCAAAAGCAGTGAATACACAATCATATTATTTTGTCAAACTTTCATGTATTTTTTGGATCAGAAATTCATTCCTCATGTCATCGCAATTTGATTAACAAACAATCTGCAAAGCTTTTGAAAATTAGACTAACCTAACCTAGTTTTAGTTTGGAGTCTAATGGTCAATATCTTATAATTATGGTAGAAGGCAATTCTTGCTCTAAAACATGGTAAAATATTATTATTATTATTTTTCATGGATTACTTGTTAATGTAATTGGAGGCTAATCTAATTGTGTTTTGTAGCTTTGGCTGTATCATTACTCCTCCTTAATAATCATTGGACACCAATTTCATTTTCATCCTCTATATATTAAAAACCTCTTTTTTTTTGTCAATATTAAATATTATTGTCAATTAAAAGAAAAAGAAATAATATGATGCTGATACTATTTGTCATGGATGGAATAACAAAACAAGAGAATAATAATACTGAATTAAAGCACTATTAGATTATAGGAAGACAAAAACAAAAACAAAAGACTTCATTATGTAAAGTAGTATCTGAAGAGTCTGCCTGCTCTTACAAATTATTCTTAGCTAAACTTTTAAGGAGGAATCATAATATTTAACCACTAAATCTTCTCCAAACATAAATTCTAATCCATTTAGTATATATATATATATATATATATATATATATATATATATATATATATATATATATATATATATATATCATGAGATTCCTACTCCAGCTGGCCGGTGAGGAAATCGAGACTGGTCTTCGAAAGGTAGTGATCCCCAGAAGGGTGACCGTAAGGAACCCCGTCGGAGAACGTCGTCGACGCCTGCCACACCGTGTTCTGTTTGGTGTCGTTTCTTGGTAGCTCCAGCGTCGCGTAAATGGTGTAATACCCATCGGAGTACTCGCTCTCCCTGCTGTACACCGCGAAGGTCAAGTTCTCATCCTTGACATCGCTCGGCTGCACACCGTAACTAGAGAACTGGGTGGTGTACACGGTCACGGCGCCGTTAGAGCCCGGGAAGGCCAGGAAGGCGTTGGCTCCGATCATGCCGGAGCCGTCCGGGTTGATGGCCCACGCGACCCAGCCGTCGGAGGTCTGCAGCGCGCGGTAGGCGACGTCGACCGTGCCATTGGAAGGGTGGTAGTTCCAGTGGAGGGAGGCATTGAGGTAGGGGAGAGAGCTGCAGGAGGCGTACAGCTTGTCGCCGGAGAACGTGTCGTTGACACAGCTCTGCGCCGCGCAGTGGTGCAACGCAGACAAGAACAGGCACAGGAAGATGACTGCTGGCTTCATGGCGGAGGACCAGATTGCAGGGATGATTCCTCGTTTTCTTCTCGGCGTATCAGAGAAGAGATGGTGGAATGGAGAAAGAGAAGGTAGGGTGAGGTTTATAAAGAAGGATGAGAGAGACGATCGGGATGAAGGGAGATGGGGGTGTGCTGCCCATTTGTCTTCTATTGCTCTGTTGATCAGCTTTCAACTTCTTCGTGTGCAAGTCGTGTGGGAACAACAAGCGCTTTTATTATATTATAATAATAGCAACACGCGTAAGAATAGTCCCATTTTTCAGATTAAAATTAATTTATATTGATATAAATTTTAACCTCTCAATATTTTGTTCAACGAAATTGACAGTCAACAAAGTTGAAGTGACCTATCTTTCAACACAAAACATATATATATATATATATATATATATATATATATATATATATATATATATATATATATATATATATATATATATATATATGATACATGGACACATGAGAGAAAAAAAATACTTAAAAACTTGTATCGTATGCTTTTGAAATAGGTTTGTAATAATATTATTGATCACCGAATCAATAATCTATTATCAGTACTAAAAGTTTATGATTTCCTATGACAAATGTCAGTCAGTATTTGGTGAGAAGCTAAAAACAAATATGAGCCATCAATTTGGACCTGCACCCTACCTTTTGTGGAAAATCCATCGTCCTCCTTGTAATGAATGCTTGCAGTCCATTCGCTTCGAGTTTTCCTTCCATCAGTCGTCATCATAAACGAACGATCGAGTCTAACAAGGTACCCGTTGGATCTTGTGCAAGAAATTTCAGTTTAGAGAGCCTTCAACTTCATCCCTTTCAAGACTCCGCTGCCTTTTCCCCCCTACCTGCTGCTTACTTCCTGCATGGTGGTGATTTCTGCAGTAATATTGGACTGAATCAAAGTGCAGCAGCAAATATCAAAAGTAAGTTTTGGATACCCTTGCAATTCTTCTGCCCGTTCAGTTCTAGAACCAGCACAACCTTCAACTACATCCCTTTCAAGGTTGATTTGCTTTTCCCCGGCACCTGTGTAGTTCCCTGCTCCTTGTTGTTGCATTCGCAGTCTGATGGCGATTTCTGCGGTGATGCTGGATCGAGGAAGAGGGACGGAAGGCGGCTTCTGAACCAAACTTCTGCGGTCAACACAAGCTGATTCATCTCATGCAGACTGGTTATCATCAGTCAATAATATATAATTGCACATCTTGAGTACCCTTCCGATTGGTTCTTGTGCCAACAACAAAACTGTAACTTCTTTTTAACAAGAAACTAACACCAATATATATTTCTCGGTCAAACCAATACAAAATAAGTTTTTTTTCTTCTTTTTTCGTCACAGCTTAACAAGATCAGAAGACTGATTTCCTTCCCATATCATGTAAGCTGGTCAATTGATCTCCTGGTTTCCTTCCTCGTACACATGAGCAGCGATCCTAAGTAACAAAATGAATCAAGATTTCTTTTCACATCCCTAATTACATTCAGAATTTGCCAAGGAATTGTCATGTTTCTATTTAATAAGAACACTAAGCTTGCAACATCTGATTCCACAAAAATTCAACCTTAGAGCACGATCCAACCCATCCCTAATTGTCATGGTATAGAATTTGTTTATTCCATATAAACCTACGATTAGAAAATAAACAGTTCCCTAGATGATTCTGATGGCAAAATCAGCACCCCCGTTCTTTTGTTGGCGTAAAGCCATCAAAATTGAGTTTGTGTCATTTAACCTGTGTCTAATGTATCTCATGCATACCTTCAGATCCTTAGCGTTAAGGATATAGGCTTAAAGCCTTTATATAATGTGGCACAAGAGTGAGCTTTAAAGCCATTAAAAGAATACTCATTCCTAGTGTTCTAAATAAGCTAAAGGTACTTGTGATGATAGTTCTTAGGGCCCTCATGCCATCTGGTCAATAATTTAAATTTTATGCCCAACTTATGTTATTACAAGTTCCAAATCCTTGTCAACAATAAGTACAGGAATTCACAAAGTGGACAACTAACGAAATTTGCAATGTTTGCCAACATATTTGAAATCGGGAGGCAGCAGTGCAAACGTTTCAGCAACAATAATCGAACCCTAGGGGAAATTGGAAGCTTTCATAAAACACTCCATGAGTTTGGATTAGAGGAAGGCATAGTGTTGAACTGAAATCATAGTTGTTTAAGTCAACACGGCAAAAGGAGGGAGTTTATTAAACAAAGCAAACAGTGAAACAAGAGTGACTTGAATTAGTGTCAACTCGAAAGATCTTTTGTTCATTGAATGATGTCGCAAAAAAGATCATCACATGCATAGTGTTGAACTGATGTGTGATTACTATCATGACAGATTGCATCTCATAAAAGAATGGTGTGTTGCATGTAAAGGATGATCTGATTTCTGAACTACTGCTACAGTAAGCCATGATACTCCAACCATTGGGGTCAGGTTTTTTTTTATTTTTTTTTCTTTTCAGTGAGCTCCAGTAATCTACCTAAAATCCTTTTATGATTCCTAGCAAAGTTTTTTCCAAGTGTCCCTCTGCTTCTCCTTGCACCATAAGTCCTAATAGACTCACCACGTCTATCACATATACATATATTCCTATGTTATGGTGAAGAAACATATAAACACAAAAGAAATTGGAGGAAGAAGCCAAGTTTATTCACTGTAAACATGGTTCAGGTCTCATGTCACTTTGTAATAAGAAGTAATAGATATATCAGTAGATAGGCTACACGAACAACAAAGGCTCAAACACAACGATAAGTAGCATGTTTAGCCGTAAAACAAGGTTGAAAGAAGTTTTTTAATACCGTTCCGTACCACCTGATATGGGCAGTATATACCGTTCCGCCAACTGATCAGCATGCGGACCACCCACCAACGGGCGGTATCAGCCTGACTGCGGCAAGGCAAGATAGAAAAAGAGGGCCTTCGAATAGGAGGGAGAAGCATCGAAGAAGAGATAGAAGCATCGAGAAAGAGGGAGAAGTGTCAAGAAAGTGGATCGTAAAGTCACCAATGCGCTGTCACCAGCATCTCGATGAACCTAAGCCCATCTAACATTGGTGTAAACTTGTCTTTCATGCCCTTTCTCGATCCTGATCCAGCGCCACCCTCCCTCGATGATCCTGATCTAGGAGGTAACAGCGAGGAGAATCGTACCTCCTTAGAGGAGGAGCTAGAGGCGCGAGGATCAAGGGAGGCAATGGCAAGAGTAACGGAAGAGGCGGCCGTGAGGAAGACATCGAAGACCCCGACCTTCTTCATCTCTGAACTGTCTCCTTCGTCCACTACCACCGCACGAAAAACCTTCCGATGTCATCTTTCTTCTCCCCACCTCTTGACGTCGAAGGTCATAGACGAGACAACGAGGAGAAAAGGATGAGGCGACGATGACGAGGCTACCACTCGGTACGCCCTTTATATCTTCTTTATATTAATTTTTATATCTTTTTTTATATAAAAAGATATATATTTTATATTTTTTATATATTAATTTATATAAAATTATTTTTTTATATTTTTTTCTAAGTATACCACTCGATACACCCTAGCGTATTGCTCGATATGCGATACCATATTATACCGAGTAAAGCTCGGTACACTAGTATGGTACGAAGTTTCAATCTTCGGAAAGAACAACCTTTTGTATGGCCTTATCCCACAGCCTTGGTCTTTTTACATGATAAATATGCATAGTAATCCAAGTAGAATGTGGAATAACCTTATCATCTCACCATAAAAAATGTTGAACACAAATAATTTATATAAAACCTAGAGAACATATGTCATACCATAGTAATAAGGATAGCTGGCCGAACTCTGCGCGCCGGTGTCCTCTTCCCAAATTTATGCTGTGAAAGCCCAGAATTAAGAAAAAAAATGTCCTCATGACTCGAGCCCCCTCAGTATGATCAAATGCTAAGTCAGTTCTGATATCAAATGTCATGATCTGAGCCTGATGGACTAATTGACTTATCAACTTTATTTGGTCTAAACCACTAATCAAAATGCTTAAGCTGAAGTTGATAATAATATACTCAGCAGACTCTTATAAGTCAATATCAATCTTGCCCATTTTCAACGGGACTAATAAGAGGTGTTACAAAATTAATATACTATCTTCGATCGCATAAACACTAGCAACATCAAATTCATCCACCAAGCTTACCCATTTCGAAGGCTAGAGTAACAATAAACCAAAAAAATGTTTCTTTCCCTTTTGTTTAACTAATTTCTCGACTCGGTGGAATCGAGAAATAATCTCCAAGTTGGAGAAACTGATCCCATACTCGAGTTTCCGAGCCATCCTAATTATTAGAATGATATTAGTTTTAAGAATCCAGGAAAACCGAAAAGCAAAGTTCCACCAATAGATCCTTATTCGAACAATTTATTGCTTCGAGGAAACAGATTGGAACAAAACAGTCGGAAATGAAATCGGAATACTTTATTATTTACATTCTGAGATCCTCGACCGAACCATACTTCTTTTCCTCTCTTTGTCCTACCGGAACGGATCGAGGGGATTCAAGGAGACGAGAACTAGGGTTTTAGACGCCTCCTTTTCTCCTCTCTGCTACAAGTTTGCATCAGTGGAGAAAATGTCATCTTGGCCGTTGCTCTGGAAACGTACCGTTATAAACCAGCCTTCTTGTTGTGTTATATGTGAAGGGCTCGAGTTACGGCCACGATTAGCGAGCGATTCGATCTGACAGCGGCAGCGGCAGCGGCAGATTCTGTTATCGAAATGTGGGGTCCAGATTAGCAACTATCGTGCAGGATGGGACCCACTTACTTACTAAAGAGAATCGCCGCTTGTAAGGGATCAGATGAGAACAGAGCCAAAAGATTAGCTCCCAAACACTAAACGTTTGCTTCTTCACCAGTTTTGCACCAAACGTTTATTTTACGCACACCGAGGGTCGATATAGCTATCTGTGGATACCAAAACCTTATTAGGTAAGGGGAAAGGCGATGGGCGTGGTGTCGTCTTATCATTAGGTAAGGCAGGACAGGACCTCTCCCATGGCTTCCTTTTTTTTCTTCGTTACGGGAGTCACACGAGCACATCGATCAAACATAGAGATGCACATCATACAAAGATCGCAAGTTGGAATTGGAAGAAGAACTAACTGATAAATAGAATCAAGAAGCTACATAACACATCAAACAAACATAATAAGAAACTACAATACAATGAAGAAGCAAAAAGAAAGAGAAAGACATGTAGCTCCTCCAAGAGGAAATCACAAGCATGGCTGAGGTAGTCGCATCTCTGTGTGCCAAATCAAAACACTACTGCTCACTCTGCCAACAGCATCTCTCTCTCTCTCTCTCTCTCTACAGCGAGATCTCCTCGTGACCCCCTCTCTGTGCAATAACATGTCTCTCGCTGTCGTCTACAGCATCTCATGTTCCCTGACACCGTACCCGTTTGCACCATTGGCACCGTGGTGAGACTTCTCGGATTCCCTCTGCCTTCTCTTCAGATATATAGCCCAAGTGACGGCTTCCAGAACCAGTGCAATGGCGCCCAGCGTCACGATGATGGCAACGTAAGCACGCTTCCACTTCTTAGCAGGATCCAAGATGTCGAAACCTTCGAAGATGTTCACCACACTCAAGATTACGATGCTGTACCCAACTGCGAGGTGGTAGATCTTCCAGTAGAGTCTGTACTTGTGATCCTTGTTGGGCCTCAGAAACAATGCAAACACCTGCACACCAAAAAACATTAACTTGTCCTCAGCCTCGCTTTGGTTCGGTGCCAACCTCATTTTGCATGAGTTCACACGGAGATCATCCATGAGATCGTTCTCGATGAACGTGATGTGGATACACATGGAATGCTTAGCTCGTATGTAAACATCGAGTACCTGAACTGTGGCCAGGCAGAAGAGGGCGATTGCGAGGTCCCTGTGTTTGTGGTAGGTGATTCCAGCAGAGTCTTTGCCGAGCTTAATGCCCAGACCCCATCCTGAGACCCCAATTATATATCCCGACACTTGACAAGCAACATGGAGGTAGAACCAAGCGGGATCAGCTGATTTGAACACCTTCATGTACCTTGCTATGATGATTCCGATGGGCATCAGAACTCCCCAGCTGATGGCATTCAGCACTCCATGTATCTGCAACCCAATTCAACCGTTCAGTAAACAGATATCGTCGGATGTTACGAGCCATGATTTGTAAGGACGAAGCATCTTTAGGACGGAAAAAGAAATCGAAAGTAGAGGAAGAGGACTCTTTGCAGAACAGAGTTCTTGCAGGAGAAGAATGATGATCGATCACAGAACGACTTCTTGCAGGTTATTTGATTTTACCCTTTTTTTTTTTTGCCTTGAGATTAAAATCTGAGGTCCATCTATTTCGATCAAAACATAATCCAGTCAAGAAAACCAATCAGAATCCTAATGATCAAGATAGGGAGTCGAAAGGACGGTGGAGAAAGCAATACGAGAGAGGAAACCAGAGCTCAAGACACAGATCAGGGCATGATTATCTACAGAATCCAAGCTACGGATGGCACAACTTACGTTCCTCCGGTGCAGCCTCGAGTTCCCTCCGGTGGACACCGCTGTGCCGGAGAGGAAATCAAGACTGGTCTGCGATAGGTAGTTATCACCATTAGGGTGATTGAAAGGAACCCCGCCGGAGAACGTCGTCGACGCCTGCCACACCGTGTTCTGTTTGGTGTCGTTTCCTGGTAGCTCCAGCGTCGCGTAAATGGTGTAATACCCATCGGAGTACTCGCCCTCCTTACTGTACACCGTGAATGTCAAGTTCTCATCCTTGACATCGCTCGTCCGGGGGTTGGTACTAGAGAACTGGGTGGTGTACACGGTCACGGCGCCGTTAGAGCCCGGGAAGGCCAGGAAGGCGTTGGCTCCGGCCATGCCGGAGCCGGTCGGGTTGATGGCCCACGCGACCCAGCCGTCGGAGCTCTGCTGCGCGCGGTAGGCGATGTCGACCGTGCCATTGGAAGGGTGGTAGTTCCAGTGGAGGGAGGCGCTGAGGTAGGGGAGGGAGCTGCAGGTGGTGTAGAGCTTGTTACCGGATAAGGTCTCGCCGACGCAGCTCTGCGCTGAACCGTGGTCCAACACGGACAAGAGAAGGCACAGGAAGATGATGGCTGGCTTCATGGCTGAAGCCGGAATTGCAGAGGAAATGGTGCTCAAACCTCTTCTCTCCGTGTCTCTGCTCACTTGTTTTCGGTCTTCTTGGTTTCTTCCAGGAAGAGAGACGCTTGTGAACCGGAGAAATAGCGGGTTGGGTAGCTTTATAGAAAGGATCAGAGAGAAGAAAAGGTGGCAGGGAGGTGGGCGTCGATGTGTGGCTGGCGTTGCGTGTGGAAGTTTCTTCCAAAAAGCGGAGGAAGGCATGAATAACGAACGAGTCGACGGAGAGCTCCTATATGCATTTTTCTTCTGCGACAAAACCTGCCTCGTTGAACAACGAGCGAGGCTTCGGTCCGTAGCTCCGGTCTCCTGCCCTACCTGTTGGAGACGATACAGTGAATAGGCGGGGAAACGCCTGGTGAATCCGGATGACCGAGTCCTCCACCGATGAAGAACAGTCTCAATCTTTTTCGGTTAATTAATCTAAGAATTGGGGGTTTTCTTTTTTATTTTGGGAATTCAGGAATCTCTCTCACAGTAGTAAGTTTGTTTCCACATACTAAAATCCAATAATAATACAAAGATTGGTTTCACACATTCAAGAGAATTTGGTCGACAAGAGAGACTTGGCGTTTCCCCACTCCGTTTCCCACCCAAACGCGGGTTCAGCCGACTTGCCGGCTTCACCGCGTGTTCTCACCGATCCCGCGGAGTCGACCGTGGACTCCTGGCCATGATCTGGTCCAAGAAACGCTGTAAACTGTAAGTGAGCTGCCAAACGCAGCCGTTCGATTCGGCAGCGGGAATATTATGATTTAGATGTGCGTGATCGACATAATAAATATACAAAATTTGCAAGGGTAATTTCGTTATTTACTGACGTTGGAAGGACAAATATGTATACAGATATAAACCGGAAGCGTTGACGTATAGGAGAGCAAAAAAAATGCTCAGACGCAGACTCGGTCAAACTCGACGGCGCTTACCATTTTGATATATATTTATCGGCTTTGTCGTTCGTCTTAAAATAAATAATGACCGAAAGAAAGATATAAACAGATCGTATCTTTAGGATTTATTTAAATGATAAGAGCAAATATATTCAAAGGCGAATTAGCGCAAGAGATTACGTGAGATCTCGAGATTAACAATTCAACCGTCCTCAGCGGCGAAGCAAGCAGACTTTTTCGTGGTTGGAATTTGCCGTTCTAACAGTAAGTCTAAGCTGATGCCATTATCATCTCATCATACGATTAACTGTTCGGTGAGCATAGATTAGTTCAACTGTAAACAAATCAAACAAGAAATCGAATCCGTCGAAAGGTAGTTGGGAAATTAGTATAAGCAAAATGGCTTTAAACGTGGGAGTTGACTTGAACGTTAGTTTTGCTCGAAAACATTTCCGACGCATGAGTTTGAAACGACATGCATACTCGACTCTTGTACAGAACTTCTCGAGCGTCGTCCGATAAATGAGCAAAACCATTGACGAAAACATGTGTACCATTCCGTACTAATTGTGCTGGACACTCTTTGCAGAATCTTCAAAGGCGATTCAAAGAAAGAAAATGCACCACCAAGTGCTTCAGGCTCACTCTTTGACTTCAATGTCCGGCGGTCGCCATCCCAATTCTAGAAGATCGGAAATAGCACAAACTTTCTAAGCTTCAACTATGGATTGGTGACCGAATCGACTTCCGGATTAGTCAGTCTCTAAAGCCACGAGAAGCCTTGTTTGACCCGCAAGCCTTTCATCGCCCGTAATTTATTGTTGCTTAGTTCCTTGTCTTCCTCCACCCAAAGAATACTAATATTAATATGATGATGATGATGACGAGATGATAAGCAAGAAAAAAAAAATCAAAACGAGTAATTAGAAACGTATTAATCTTTATCTGATCTGCAACATACCTTTTTTTGCTTTCTGTGTATCAAAATTCTTACTTTCCCTAAGACAATTGTGACCAAACTTGCCATTAATGCCAGTACTGTTCTTGCTAGTCAACTGCGCCGAGTACTGCAAATGAGAAATCCAATTCGAAAGAATTCATGCCGTGGAAGAAACACTAGTTAGTAGGGTATTCCACTCCATCATCAACTTCTCCTACCAAAATAGTAAGGTGGAAATAAAATAAAAAGTGTTTCTACACCTCCTTTTTTCCAAGTAGGAAAATAATTTGTCTCGATAATATAGCACACATAGATAAAGATAAGGTACTGTTCTCTTTTCCTCACGATCAGTAAGATCTGAAGGGTATCAATGTGAGTTAGAGCCTCATCTGATAGTGGAATGCTCGTTCCGGGAATATGGTGCCATCAATAAATAAAAAAAGTCAACGCTTCCAAACGTACGATGACCGCACATGTACGTGAAGACGGAGTTGCAGAGTCGAAAGTCTTCGCCCGCGTTCATCACAGATCGATGCAGACAATGCGAGGAGCCGATGTGCGGAAGAGAAGTCGCTGTGCTGGGAAGTCTTTCTTCTATTTTCGTCATCGAATAAGAAGATGATTTTGCCGCATCAACTGATCGAGTCTTTTCTTCCATATTAGTCAAACAAGAAAAGTTCTTCCTTCCCCAAACCCCGGCCTTCTGCTAATTTTCTCTTTTCTTCGGTCAGTTGTCGCCATCAACGAATGAATCTAAACTCGCGGAGACTAAGCATCCTTCCGGTTGGATCGAACTTCCGCAACGAGTTTTAGTCTAGAGCCATCACGAGCTTCGAGACTACGTCGTCTTTCCATGTGCACCTCTTTGCTTCTCAGCTCTTATGATTCCTGCAGCGACATCGAACCATAGCTTATCCCATCAATAAGGACGAGACGATCGATCCATCCGTACATAAATAAGGGGAACTCTCGTAATTGGATAGTTTCCGCGATGAAGATGGACTAAGGAGGAAGAAGACTCTGTTCATTTTTCTTTGTGCGCGTGCATGTCTCCGAATTCTTAGTCTTCCACGATCGTGATACTCTGCGGTAGAAATGGTGGCTTGAGAGGGAAGACGAAGGGCAAGTGGCAGTTTCCGAACGTACAAGCCCGAGGAGCTGCAGGCCTCTTTGACCAATCATGCAGTACGTCGGTCAATATAATTTAACTCGTGCGGCACGATGATGATTTAATGCGGACGCGATTAATACGTATGGGTGCACTCCAAATAATGGTGATCAAACGATAAGATTAATAATATTGCCAAAAATAAAATATAAATACATAACAGTATAATAAAAGATAAAAAATAAAACTAATATTATAGCAAAAGAGACATGTTGAGAGGGTGAAAAATATAATATAATAAAGTTGTCTTCTCTCCCATTCTTATGATGAAAAAACTTAAACAACCATCGAAAAAATTAATTATTTTTTATAAAAATAATTAATATATATATAATTAGATAACGTTTTAGCCTTTTAAGCTTCGATCGGTCTAATCAATTGAGGGTTTGTTTGGTTTTAGAGTCTTTTTTATAATTATGATTAAATTAGACTTCGATTCGATTGCTTCTGATTCGGGCCCAATTTGACGTTTCTGAAAACAGATTGGGCTTTAGCCGAACGAGTGTTGAGCCTGATTTGGGCTTAGAACCCTAATCCTGCTTGGATTTGTTGTTTTTGGTTAATTGAACTCATAATTTGGAATCGTATAGCCTTTAATCTGATTTTAATATAGTTCGAATAAGAAAATAGATGTTCGAATTCAGATTCAAATATCCTGACAAACTCATTCCATACAAAGAGATTTACGGGGTATTATATTTATTATTATTTTATAATTACATAATAATAGTTATTTTTTAAGTAATTTATATATTTGAATTTATATTACCAAGAATATATATATATATATATATATATATATATATATATATATATATATATATATATATATATATATATATATATATATATATATATATATTAACAAAGGCAAATTGGAAGGTCGATATTGCCCCAACTAAAACCCTAACTTAGCCGCCACACGAAGCCGATGTCAACAACCTCTCCGTCTTCGGAGAGTTGTACGATACGAATCCAACGGTCGGAATAGGTCACTTGCTCCTATAAGGACCACTCTCCTCTCGTTTTCTCGTTCTTGCACTTGCAGGGCCGCACCATCCGTTGCCTTGTTAGGGTTAGGGTTTCGTCGTCGTTTCAACCCTTGGCTTTTGTTGGTTTTGGGGGTTTAGTATTGGGGTTGCTCGAGTTCTCCGAGGCCTTTGAGGTCCTCTATCTCTTCTCGTCCTGTGTCGCCTCCTTTGCTTTCAATCGGTAGGACCTCGCTGGCCTGATCGATTGCGTCATTGGAGATCCACCGCGCCTTTAGGTAGTCACTATCCTTTGGTCCGGCTGCTGGCAGCGGTGGATAATCTTTGTGATAAATAATCATGTAACGCTTCCTATGAGTTTTAGGATCTCGTACGTCCAGTTACTTTCTTCGTTTATGAGTAGATGATGCTGATCACTTCTACTACTACTATTATTATTATTGGTTTTTGGTCTGCTCTCCTTGCATCTGTGAACTTGGGTTTATATTCGTGCATTGATGTTTATGGTGTTTGCCCAACAAACCCGTGCACTTAACATGCCTTGGCGGTGCTGTCATCACAAAAATTTAGGGTTCATCTTATTTTATCTTTTTACCTAGGATGTCTTGTTAACGAGTCCGCTTTTCTTCTTGCATTATTTGATGGAACAATCGAACCTGTATTTGGTTTCTACAAGCTGATATCCACATAAATGCAGTAACTTCTGTTATATCTTCTAGCAAAGAAATACTGTTATGAGTACGTTTGATTTTCTTGTTCCTATTGAACAATTAGCAGCTAAAACTATCTGTTCTTGTTTTCAGTACTTCAATTATAATTATCAGTGATATTTCGTAATCGGCATTTAGGATGTTTTTATTTGGTCCCATGTCTCTTGGTCTGTATGCTGGAATTAAGAAAGCCTTGGAAATTTGTTATACTTAATGGTTGTCATCAGCTTCATATTATCATCGCTCCATTTATCGGTATTTCTTTGATTCGGCATTTGACAGTACTTATCCAGCCTTTGCTAAGTTATGCATTTATCCTAGAAAGTGTATTCGAGGAATGAGTAGGGTACCTGACAATCAGGGCTCTTTCGTTTCTAGATTTTATTGATTCAGTATTTTCTTACTAGAATTCGGTCAGTTGTTAATGTGCTTTGCCATTTGTAAATTTAATTACTGTTTTCCTTAGAACAAATTTAACAATAAAAACACTTTTTTCTGGCTCAGTTCGCCTTATCATTGTTGTAAAATCCTTAATCTGTGGTGTTTTGTTGTTTTTCTTCTTATTTAGAATTGTTTTATCAACAGGAGACTTTAGTACGTCTCACATTATTGAGTAGATTCTTGAGTACATCTCACTTTTGTTTTCCATTTTGTGCCTTTTGTTATATTAAATATGTTGGCCTATGAAGATGCATTTGATCCTGATAACACACCATCTTTCGGGACTGATTGGCACTTTGTGGCCATGTTGTTATTCTGCAATTCTGAGGCATTGCTAGTTCTTTCTTATGACAAAATTGTTCTTTATTGTCTGAAGTTATAGATAAAAAGTGATAGTAGCAATCTCCTCATTGTGGTCATCTTTCAACAGAGGGAATTTATTAGTGTTCACAAGCACGGTGTTATCATGGATTCTGGGTCATTCCTAGATTTCTCTGTTTTGGACTTCCTGATAATATTGTTGGTGTGTTGTCTGTTGGTCTTTTCTTTGTTTGTCAGTGATTTTTATGTGTATCTTTGCCTATGAAGAAATCTAAGAACCAAATACCATCTTTCGGGACTGATTGGACTTTTGTATCCATGCTGTTGTAATCCTACAATTCTGAGGCATTTTTTTATTGTTGTCTAATTTGGAATTGTTTTATTAAATATTGTGTGTTTTCTGTTTTAACCTTCAATAATGTTGAATTATTTTGGCCTGTGAAGATATGCTTGATCCTTGTACACCATCTTTCGGGACTGATAGGCACCTATTGGCCTTGCTGATATTCTGCAATTCTGAGGCCATGTTTATGCGGTATTGTAACTTCTGTTTTTCTTTTTTCTGTGGTGAAGTTGAACTGGTTACTGAATATTTTGTTGAAACTACGATCTTGGTTTTAAACTATGATTTTGTTGAACGATAGTTTTCTGATTCATTTCCTTTTTTCTTGTTGAACTCTGATGGACCCCAAATAAAATGCTGACTTTGGGAAATGTTCTACTACACGTTCAACTCCACTTTGGCCAATGTGTGTTATGATGCCTCCCAAAGTGATATTTTGGTGCAAAAGAGCTCTCTGCCTAGAGAGTGCTATTTAAGCTTTTATGAACATGCATGAATCCTAATAATTCATTCTAGAACCCTTGCAAAACGTGTCGCATGTTGTGATGAAGCTACATAGGCTTTACAGTTTTCTTTCTTCTATCATGTGATGTTTATTTTGTTATGTTCCCATTTGTATCAACTTGAATCTGTTGTTGGTAGTGTGGTGGCTCTTTTCCCCATGTGATGAAAGAATGTTGATGATTGTGTCGCTTAGGAGGAAATAAATCTTATATTTTCATGTTGCTTTGATGATCTCGTTTGCAGCCATCAAAAATCTGCTCGCTATCTCACTGGCATCTGAAATGGGAGCTCTTATTTTTTCGGAGGACACAATGCCGAGAGCTAGCTTGATGAATGTCTGTAACTTTCTTTTCCACGGGGATTGAATCCTGTAATTCTGTATAGCTCAGATTGACAGTAGAAATTGTACGTGACAGTTTATGTTGGATTATTTATCTTGAACACTAAGTATATATTGATGCATGCTATGGAATTTTCCCTTGAGAAATCCTTTCGAGTTCTGAAGGTTGTGAATTGTGGAACACAGTTTTTTACATAGTTACAGATATATACAAAATTATAGAAGCTACAATGGATTGATTGCCCATGTATCTACTATATATATGTTGAACTTGAAACTTCATAAATTCGACTAGACCTTAAAATGTGGAAAGTGAACTTTGGTGGGGGCAACTTTAGAGTCGGCCAAGGGAGGTTATCAGTAAAGCCAAGCTTGCTACATATTTTAATTTGATCATATAAATTAATTTGGTAAGGGACCTACTGATTGATTGCATTATTTCAGGGAAAAAAAATGGTAATGTTGATTTCTTTTCCTCTAAGAGAGAGCCAAGCGGGTCACTTAACATCAGTAATTGTCAAGTGATAAATAAATAAATAAATAAACCCTGGAATCAAGCCCCATTGACGAAACAATGCATTAGCCCTAACTAGGTTTGGCTAATGGGTGTTGTTATGGTAAATAACTTTTTTCTAGCCGTGGCCTCGGGGCCGACGCGGCTTGTTCGGGGGTCCGAATGGCGGGGATCCTGCGTGGCGTGCCTTGGGTCCTCTTGGCGGTCGTCCACGGTGGTCCGGATGTTTCAGGGAGGAGCTCCGCAGCAGCGTTAGGGAGGCGGCGACCCCGTCTCGCACCTGCACATAGGTCGGGTTGGAAGCTCGGCCCGACCCCTCCGACGATCAAGTCAGTGATGTGGAGAGGATGGTGGGAGAGGGGATGTTCCTCTGTCAGTCGTCCAAGTGTGGCGGGTGTCGTGGTGTATTACGTCAAATTTGTTTTTACCCCTATCATATTCCCCCCCCCCCGAAAGGAGCTATGCGTCGGTTTGTGCATGCAGGGGGTTCATGGCTTCTCACTTCAGGTGGGCTGGTCACGCAGATGTGGTCTCGGGTAACGCGTAGCCGAGGAGCACGGTGTAGTCGGACTGACGGCGTAGGCGCGGTTCCAGATAGCGTGTTGTCACGGACAAACTTCGAAACAGGGTGTTTGACGTAATGCTTATGTATGTCCGTGTCTTTTGGCATGTTCATGCCTTGTACAGAATGTAAAGGGGCGGTTGAAGGCTTAATAGTCCCATTTTAGTTGGGTTGGTGGCCTCTTTAGGCTTTTAAATAAAGGTTGTGTCATGTGGACACGTGCGAGAGATTTTCGGTCTGTAATGGACCATTTTACCCTTTGTTGTGCCACTGTTCAGAGCTTGTAAAGTCTGTTTGTAATTTGCATTGTCTATGAAGTGTTTTTCGGACATGTTTGCTTGTGGATCCCGATTGAGGCGTTCTCTTTAACCCGTTCTCTCTTTTGTTGGTCCTAAGGGACAATGGGAGGCTTCGGGGAGGCTGACCTTTGCGGACGGACGCACGAGGGTGCCGCACGACTTAGGCAAAACCAGCTAAGTTCGTGTCATATGGTATCAGAGCCGGACAAGCACTCATAGAAACACTTAGCATGCAAACGTGGGGGACCTAGCGGGACTGCGTTGAGGGCAGTCAGCACACGCGCGACCGTTTGGGGGAAAACGGGCATGGAGATGTAGAGAAAAGGAGTCGCTCAGAGGAGCGGGCATCTGAGATTGACATTCAGAGGAATGGCCAACCCTTCGCGCAAGAGGCACCACGAGAACAGACAAGCTTGGAAGAATGTGGAGCGCACAAAAGTTGGGATGGCTGAGTTTGAGCTACGACTCAACGTTGACAACATACTTGATGGTGCTCAAGCCAAGCGAGGCGCTTGGTAAAAGATGAGACCATCCAAGGTGGAATGAGTTGCTCAACGACCAAAAGAGTTATGTAAAGCTCACAGAGGTGAGGGGAATTGCTAACTCGAAGAATTTGGTACTCATGCATGGGCTTGTATGCGGATGATGGAATGTTCGTGGCCATCCCAAGGCGACCGAAACTCGGCGCCATGGAGCATTGAAACTTTCTCTTCGGCATGTGAAGGATACGTCCG